TGAGCTTCTATTCTTTTTATAATATTTTAAAAGTAGATTAATGCTTTATGTTATAATCTCAATTAAATATTCAATAATGTTAGAGGCATGGCCTCACCATTAATATTAAAAAAAAAAAAAACAATAAATTTAACGGGCCCAATATTGCTATCGGCTCCAAAGCCGTTCAAAATGTTTTGCAAACAATGGATACAGTTGATAATAATTATTCTTTAAGTCTTGATAATTATTATTTATGTCATTTTCTGTATGAGAATATAAAATTTTTTTTATTTGGTTCATTATAAGTATTCGATGTTCTTGATTAATACCATGCTTCGAGTTGTAGAGTCAACGCCTGAATGCCTGCAACACATGGAATGTACATAAAAGTAAATTAGATTGTGGCCAACAAAGTTTTAGGCATTTCTTTCTGAAGCTGAATCGTCAGTTAAAATATTTTGAAGCCCAACATCATGCTCACGACCATAAAATACACATTCAGGAAGAATTAACTTTAAAAGATTAATTGCATTCTCAATTGTCATCTCAAGTTCATCAGATGTAATAAATAGTCCTAATGGCAATGCACCTGCTATACAACTTGTATACAAAAGGGTTATTGATATATTTAATGGTTCAAATGATGCGGAAGCATCTACATAACAAATTTCACCAGCTTCACAGATTTTCTCATGCACTCTACTCATTAACCCAGTAACAATACATAATATAAATGCTTTTCTCATTTGTGAGTCATATTCTTGAAGAATTGCTCATCCATAACCTGATGTATTATAATTTAAAACCGCCTCATTCAAACGTTGAAACATCGATGCACTGTTTTGTCCACCAAGCTGAGAATTACGATAATGTTCAAAAAGGTGAACAACATACTTATAACCTGGGTTAATCGCGTGATCAGCAAGACTTTCAACAAGTTTTTTATTTGATGGAGCTGAAAGATGTAATTCATCTTCATGATTATATAAAGCGGAGGCAGGTGAGTGACCATTGTGAAATATTTGAATAAATTTATTATGTATTTCTTCATGTACATGTCTAAAACTGAGTAACTCAGCTGAATTAATGACATGATTATATTTAAAACTAATATTAATCTCCAAAGGATGGCTAGTATTTAAATGCCAATGTTCTAATCACAAACACAAGGTTGCTGAACAACCTGTATTTCTATTATGTGCTAATTCTGGATTCTTTCTTTCAGGGTCACCTTGTTTTTTTCTAACAATCTGACTATGAATACAATGCCTTGATTCTCGAAAAATAACTTGTTGGCCTTTAACTCCATATCCCTTAGTTTGTGGCATTGTTGTTTTCGTGTGTTCTTCAAAAAGGGCAAACCATTTTTTTATGCCTTCTACAGTTGAAACATTAACGAATATATTAGCTTCAAATTGTTGTACTTTAAAGCCTTCATGAGTATAAAGTGGCGGCAATTTTTCATATGTCGAATCATATAGCTATAATTCATAGGAAAACCGGCTTGTAAAAAATCTGGCAATAAATCTCAAGAAAAAATCTAAAAACAAATATTTTTATATTACTATATTATAAAAAAAAAGCTTTTGTTGTTTCTTTAAATTTAATTTACCTTGCAAGGATTTTTATTATCTATATGATTAACAAGATTTGTAGTATCTTAGATTGTTTCAAAAGAATTAATATACGATTTAGTACAGCCGACCTTTATTATAAGAATACAAATTTACAAAATTAAACAATAATTAGTAAACAAAAAGCAAACATATCTTTAACTTACATTAGTGCCTTTATCTATTCCAATGCCTTTATTTGCCCCGATGCCTTTATCTGCCTCAATGCCTTTATTTACTTCAATGCCTTTATCTGCTTCAATATCTTTATCTACTCCAATGCCTTTATTAATGACTAGGGTATTCATTTATATTACATCATTCATCAACATATTGTCTATATGATTTGAGAGTGTATCTCTTGTATGACTTGTGAATGCATTCCACATATAGGTTGTAAATGAATTGTTCATATGATTTGTGAAAGAATTTTCAATATTATATGTGAAAGAATTTTCTACATGATTTGTAAAAGAATTTTCCATATTATACATGAAAGAATTTTCCATATTAGTTGTAAAAGAATTTTCCATATGATTTGTAAAAGAATTTTTCATATAAGTATTTTTTGTATAATTTGCGAAATTTGTGTGATTTGTGAAAGTATCACCCCCTCCATAATATGCAAATATATCCTTATCCTCCTCCAAATAATTGGTAAATGAAAAGGTCATATTTTGTGAATACGAAGGTTTATTTCTAAATATAAAGTAATATGAATTGTATATAAGTTAACATATTAACAAAAAATTCCAGAACCATTAATTACTTATGTAAATTGTGGGTTTTTTTTTTTAAATTTTTTTTTTTTTTTTTACTTATTTTTGATAGCCTGATGTCTTTTAATAGTCACAAGTTATATCTCACGTTTTAATGATACTACATTCTATATACTTAAAACACTCAAAGGATTGTATTTATTGTTTTATGCCCTGCTTTTTATTATTATGCTACACTCCACCTTTTAACACTACAACTCTCCTTCTTCACTGCACTTTCTAATTACACACACACAACGATATTTCTTTGTGCTTATCTTATTTAGGTTAACGTAGCAAAGGTTTGATTTTCAAGATCAAACTTCATTTTATTTATTTTTTTGGTATATATATGTATAATTACATCACCGATTGTCAATCATATAGACTTAAATTTAACTCTAAATTACTAAGAATAGTTTGTAATTATTATAATTTGAGTCACTATATTACATTTTGAGTCACTATATTACTATTTGATTCACTGCATATTAAGATTTGAATCATATTTCAATATTACGATTTGAATTGAACAATTATTTGCATTTGTATAACCGATCATACCCACTTTGCATGATTTCGTATAACCGATCATGCACCGCTTTGCATGATTACATCATTATTATACTGTTATACAGTACTGATCAACATAACCTGGCACAGAATGGATGGATGCGTACAAAACAAGGCTACACAAGTAACACAAAGCACATGAGGTACCCCAGGATGCCCCAGGACCTTCTAGAATGATGTATTAATAG